CCTCTGAGGTCTCTGGTAGTCACCATGAATCTGCAAGTTTGAGCCACCTCTCCTTGGCAGTGAGTCTTGGCTTAGAAAGAAAACATCACCTACCACCCTCTTCTTCATTGAAGTCTCTCTTTGCTTTCACTGTGATCTTTAATTCTTGTGTCAGATCCTTCCTGGGTCCAAGGACCCACCTTCCACCTTCTCTTCCTCACCTTGCTGTATTTCAGCATCTGGATACCAAATCTAAGAGTGGCTCTTTCTCTGCTGCTCATCATTCCACCATCTTCCCATTTGTACATCTTATTTAGAGAACTGCCTGTTCAGATCCTTTACACATTTTAATAGGGTTTTTTGTCCCTGATTCAGAGTTGTCTGAATTCCTTATAAACTGAATTCTAGCCTTTTATCTTCTGCATACTTTGCAAATATTTTCTCCCATTCTATCAGTTGTTTCTGTTTTGTTGATGCTTAATTTGATGTAATACCTTTGTCAAGTTTGCCTCTGTTGCTTTTACTTTTGAGGTTTTATCCAAAAAGTCATTTCCAAGAACGAATCATAGACATAAATATAAAACCCAAAATTATAGAACTTCTATAAGAAAATATGGGGAAAATCCTCATGGACTCAGATTTTGCAAACATTCCTTGGATATGACAAAAAAATTATGAGATAAATAAAAATCCATAAATGAATTGACCTTTATTAAAATTAAAAACTTCTTGAAATAGACTGCTAAGAAAACAGAAAGGCAAGCTATAGATATTTGCAAATCATATAACTAATAAAGAAACTATATCCAGAAGATATAATGAGCACTAATACTTAAGAATAAGAAAATCAACAGTCTAATAAAATTATAAGCAAAATATTCAAGCTTCATCAGTGAAGATGTATAGATGGCAACTATAAACATGAAGAGACAATCAGGCTTTAGATAAATACAAATTAAAATCATTACGCATTTATCAGAGTGGTTAAAATTAGAAGACTGATTGGTACTGTTGGAGAGGATGTGAAAAGACCAAACTCAAAACATGTAGTACACTTTGGAAAACAGTTTAGGAGTTTTACAATCAGCTAAACATACACCTCCCACATTATTTATCACTATTCCTAGGTACCTTTTTAAAGGACATTAAAGCTGGGCATGGTGGCTCACGCCTGTAATCCCAGCACTTGGGAGGCTGAGGTGGGAGGATTGTTGCGAGTCTGAGACCAGCCTGGGCTACAAAGTGAGCTCACGGCCGCCCTGAACTGCATAGTGAGACCCCGTCTCAAAAAAGACAAAAAATTTAAAAACTAAGGAAATTAAAGCACCTGTGCCTAAAAGGACTGTACATGAGTGTTCATAGCAGCATGCAGACAATGAGTAACCCCAAACACCCTCGTGTAGCTGAATGCATAAACAAACTGCCACATATCCATGCAATGGGGTCTGGCTCAGGAATGAAAGGAACTGAAATTGCTGATGCAGCATGGATGAATCTCAAGATTTCAGATGAAAGACACTACAGTACTCAGTGCTGATCCCGGAGTGTCATGATGTGAAGTCCAGCAGTACTATTATTCTTTGTTCAGAATGATTTTAGCCTGCTTTAGTTTGTTTAATCTCAACATAAATGAAAATATGGATAACTGCATGTATGTTTAAGTGTATAGGATTGACAACCATATTACTAAGTTTTTGTTGGATAGTTGAACAGAACTGTTTGCAGTCTCGCTATTTGAATTCCCACTTTATATGCTCCACTTTTGTATCTTGAACAACTATTTGTAAAAGGAAGTATGTAAATATCAACTAGTGATTTCTTAGTGTTTATTTTTTTTTCTTTGAACATTTGTATTATTTCTACCCATTTTCTGTTTTGTTTAGTCTTTCTTTAAATAAGATTAAAAAATTTAAAAAAAAAAGATTTCAGATGAAAGAAAAAACATACTGTATGATTCCATTTACATAAAATTCTAGAAATGCAAATGAACATTTAATGCCAGAAAGCACAGCTGTGGTTTCCGGCAAGGGCAGGAAGAGGAAACAGTGCTGGGTTGATGGGGTCCATTATCTTGATTGTGGTCATAGTTTCATGTGTGTGTTTATACATCAAAACTCATTAAATTGTGCACTTTATATGTGTGCAGTTTATTTATGTCAGTTACACCTCAATAAAACTGCTTTTAAATAAAGAAAACTTTCCATAAAGAAAAATCCAGACCCAAAACCCACAGAGTCCGAAACATGTGCATAACACACTGCCTATGCCTGGGCTGGTTCCACAACCACCAGAGCAAAGCTTTCTTTAGGAAAAAAGTTCTTAGAAAATCAATCACTGTAATTTGCCACATTGAAAAACCAAGAGAAAAAAATCATGTTCCATCTTCAGATGCAAAAGTTTATATAAAATTTAACATCATTTTATGAATGTAAGTAAATAAAATCAAGCCTTTGCAAACTACAGACAGGAGGGGACTTCCTAGGCCTGGTGAGGAGCATTACCAGACACACCCATGCTCTCACTGCTCTCACTACTTCTGGTGGGCTGTGCACGGGGTGGTAACCAGTGCAGGAAGATAAAAGGAAAGGGAAGCCAGGGACCTGGAAAGTAGGAGAGCTAAAACCAAAGAGAATGCCAGCCTGGGATGGGAAAAGTTCAGGAGAATTTGCAGGAAGGTTGGTAAGAGTTGCAGATTTCAGCAAGTGTACTGAGTACAACCAGTAAACAGGAGTTAACTGTCTCTAATTAGAAGCAACAAACATAAAAATGTAAACTTTTCCCAAATGAAATTATAGGAGAGGCCAGGACTTGACAATTTGACAAGCACACTTATGATTTACATGAAAGTCCATATGGAGAGGGAAGAGTTAGTTACACAAGCTACTGGGGCTGACTTCAGAAGTACAGTTGAATTTGACTGAAATCACTGGGGTCTTCTCTGAAGAGGAGGCAGTATGGGCTCAATACCATTAGGACAGAGATAAAAATCAGGACCCAGAGCAGGTTTCTTCCTACCAGGAGGGCTTGCTGTCATGAGCTTGGGTAGAACATGCAAGTGTGGATGTTACAAAGGGGCAGAGAGAGGCAGACAGGAGACTGCAGGGATGGAGCTTCCACCTTTTTGTTCCTCAGGCAGGAAACTGGAGCTGCTTCCATATTATGTCCAGAAGCCAAAAGAGAAAGAAGGTGGAGACCCAGAGGAAGCCCCATGGGTAGCAGAGCTGGCAGAGGCCAGCCCCACCCAGCAGCAGGACCCAGGATGTATGTGGACTCAGATGAGGTGGCTGGGGCAGGAAGTCAGGCCCTGCCTTGTGGCTGGCTTCTGAGAAGGCAGAGGGAAACTGACTAAAAGTGAGAGATCAGGAGGGTGTGGTGCTAAAAGACAGGGTGTGGAGGCAGGAGGATGTGGAGCCTAAGTTTGCACTTCTGGGTGTTGAGCCCTTGGTAGGGCACGACAAGGGGGGTCACACAGTAGTGATCATGAGGAACAGGCAGGACTCTCACTGACACACTTCCAGGGTCTCCCTGGCCCTGAGATTCTGCTCAAGGATCAGCCTGTACACATATTCTGCCTCCCATGTCACCTTTGAGCCACAGAGCTATGCTTCATATTCACTACGCATCCCACCTACTCCTGAGACCCAAGCAGAACAGGGCTTGTAGTTGAGTCCCACCTCTAAAGCAGCCCTGACATAATGAGGCCTCACAGCCAATGGCGAAGAGTACATGAGTGGCTGGTATTTGTTTTTTCTTGCTGTCATTTTTCTTGTTTATTTTGTTGGTACATATTAGGTAGACAAGGTAACATTCATCATAGGAAATCTGTACCTGTACACGATCTATCTGGCTTCTTTTTCTCCCCACTCCCCTCCTTTCTCTTTAACCCCTTTTCACCTCCTCATTTACAAATGCTTTCTTTTCCATTTCCCCCTTCTATTCTAATTTTTTCTTCTCTCTTCCTTGCTTTTTTCTCTCCTCTCTCCCTTGTTCCCCCTCTCCATTTGAACATGTCCTTCCAGTTTTCCAGTATCTGTTGTACATTTTAGTCCTTATTTACACCTCAGGTTTCTCATACCAGAGGAGTGACTGACATTTGTAAAATGACTTTGAGCAGGAGACCATAGAGCCAACTATCCTGGTCTCTAAGTCACCACTGGAGTCTGGACTATATTAGGACCAGGACCCTATACTAGCCTGGGGGGCTACAAGTCCCTAGCCTATCACCAAATGGTGGATCAGCTGCACCTTGTGACTGATGAGTCTCTTTTCAGACCATACAAGGCTAGGATTGGAGACCCCTTGGCAGGCTGTGGCACTTTTGCCACAATTCCACTGCCTCCTGACCCCCATGGCCATCTCCAGGTCACCCCTCTTCTGTGGAGCTTCAAGCCAGACACAATCAGTGGAAGCTGGGGGTTCCCAAGAGGAGCACCTGCCACTCACAGCATAGTCAAAGGGTCATAATAGGGGACTACATGTCCCAGGGCTCCAGACAAGTGAACACTATGGCCCAGAAAGAGCAAAGCTCAGAGCAATGATCACCTCAGGGTCTCAGTGCTGAAGACAGAAGGTCCTGATGTCTGTAACCCCTTCCACAGCTCAAGCTACCCTGTGGCCCTCAAAGTGGGCCAGCTAGGGAAAAGAAAGAGGTAACAACAATGCAGAATTTCTCTGAGCAAGCAGATGGCAAAAGTCTTGGTGGCCTGCACCCACAGTTGAGACCTCTCATGGGGCAGTGTGCAAGAATCCCCAGGTGGTTTTCATCTCAGGCCTCTGCTGCTTGTCTTCACCACAAGGGAAGGGAAGATGTCCATCTGCCTGGGATCTGGTCCATCTGACTCATAAGTACAGTCAGATGGGAGGCAGCTGGAAGAGGGGAAAGGCAAGAGGGACTTTCCATGCACCTCCTGGGGACCAGGGTAGGGAGTGGCCTGTACTCCCTCCACCAAGCCCTAGCCCCTCCTTAGAAAGCTCTCTGCCTAAGCAACTTCTCTCTACCGCAAGTTCCTTGGCACAGGCAATGTATCAGGGCAAGGAGGGTTCTCTGTGCATACACTCTGCTTATTATTCAGAAGCACACTCTGGCCAAGGAAAGGGGATGTAGGTGGTCAGCTATGCATCACTAGGCTGCCCTCCCCACCTTGATGACACAGTATGTTTGGACCTGCCCAGCTGCAGGAGATTTTCCCAGCCACTCCTGACTGCAACCTTTGGGAAGTAGCAGAACACAGGAGGAACTTGCTTCAGTCTCTAACCATTGATTATTTTCTCCATTGCAAAGGAATCTCTTATTGAAGAAGGATCAGTTTTGCAGCAGACTGCCCTGGATTTACATCTTCCAAGGTTTTCATCTTGTTAAAACCCGGATATTTACAGAAACCCTGTGCTCCTTCCAAGAACAGCTCCACATGCTCCTTGTCTTAAGGCTTTTTCTAGACTCCTTGCAACATCCAGGGCCAGAGAGATCTTATTCTCAGCTCAGAGTCTATGGTGGCCCTCAGCCACCCTGCCCCTACCCCTAGTTCTCATATTCCTCTGGAACCACACCTTCTATGTCTCACATTGAGCTCTCTCTGAACCTCAAGGACAAGGTAAGTTGCTGAGTTTGCCAAGTCCCTAACCCACAGCAGCATTGAGTCATCAGCAAAACCTGGGAAGAATGGTTAGGCCCTGAGTTCCTTCACAGGTGCAGAAGATGGCTGGCAGTCAAACTGGAGTGCATAGGACAGGGCTGGAACTCAAATTTCATGAGCCTTTCAATGGGTGAGAGCTGAGCTATGCCTGTATTCCTGAGTGTGTTTGTGTGTTGGCCTAGGTATGTAGCTGTGTGTTTCTGAAGCTGGGTGTACACCTACATACACCTGTGTGCTTTTGAGCATATGTGGGACTGTATCTGTGCCTTAGTCTGTGAGTGTGCACCTGTGTATTTACCTATATTATGTGCCATATGTTCCCGTGTATACCTATATGCACCTACACGTGTCTGTGTGCGTGCACCTAGGCACATTCACATGTACCTTAATGCATGTGAGTATGCCTACATGTGTCTGCATCTATACTTTGGTTGAACAATGAGCCCAGTAGGGTCTGTTGGTGACCATGTCTCTTGGGAGTAGATTTCTTTGTGGAGGGGCAGTGTGTCTGTGCTTTCACTGTTATCTCTTTTTCAAAGTTGCATTTGTCTGCTTGCTTCAGGGGGAGAAAGTGAGGTTCTCAATACTGAAGGGCTTGGCATCTGGCTCCTGGGCAGGGGCATCAGTTTCTGGGGAAATCTGTGTATGCTGGAGCTGGATCTTCTTGGAGGCTATTTTCTTTTTCCTTTTTTCTTTTTTTTTTTATATTTAGAGAAAAAAAGGAAAACAGAAAAAAGGGTAGAAATAATACAAAATTTCAAAAAAACAATAATAAATGACTAGTCAAAAAATAACAGTAAGAAATCATTAGTTGATACATTATATATTGTTATCTTAGAAGTAGTTGTTCAATTTACAAAATCAAAATATAAAAAATTAACAATCAAACAATGACAGTGCAAACTATTCTGTTTGATGGACTAACAAAAACTTAATAGTATGGTTATCTATCTTGCACACTTAAACATGCAGTTATATCTTTTAGAGCACTTTCTTTCCCTTTCTTTTGGGGCTTGCTTGCTTGTTTTTTGAGACAGGGTCTTGCTTGCTTGTTTTTTGAGACAGGGTCTTGCTCTGTAGTTCAGGCTGGCTTTGAACTTACTACATAGCTGAAGCTGGCCTCAAACTCACAGTGATACAGTGATACTCCTGCCTCAGCCTTTTGAGTGCTGGAATTACAGACACCTGGCAGGGCTAAATCTTTACCTATCTGGCAGAAACCTGAAATTTTGTGGGAGCCTATGCTGGGAGGGTTTGCCCATGATGTGGAGATGGATATAATTTTGATGCCTGTGAGGGAATCTAAGTTTGGGGAAAGAAGTGTGTGACTCTGCATTTGTGTTAAATTAGGAGAGCACTGTGTTGTATGTAAGCATCTGGGGGCCTGTCTGGACTGTGTCTTAAGTATAGTGCATGAAGCTCTTCTGAGTTTCAGTTTGTCTCCACATGTCTGTATGTTAAGAAATCAGCTTGCTGCTATGAGTCCAGCCAACATAACATGGTCCTTGATCCATCTTTCAAAGAGAAAAAGATGTTGTGTATGGTGGTGCATGTCTGTAATCCCAGCACTCAGAAGGTTGAGGCAGGAGAATTGCTGTGAGTTCAAGGCCAGCCTAGGCTACATAGTGAGTTCAAGGATAGCCTGGGCTATATAGTGAGACTCTGTCTCAAAAGAAAAGAGTTAAATTCAAAGAGAGACATAACTAGAAGGGACAGATGTTTTCTTAAACCCCACAGCTAGTAGGTAGCAGATCTAAGCAAAGGCCAATTGACATGGGTCACAGGAGCCTGTCTAGGAAATGGAAGGGATGTGGCTTGTTTCACCGAGCCTAGCTCCCAGGCTGATTAGTTGGAAGCAACAATACCAGGGATCAGAGCCAAGCAAAGGGAAGGTCTCCACATACCAGGACTTTCCCCCACTCCGCCCTTGCTGTGTGGCATCTCTCATGACCCAGTTGTCTAGAGCGAGCTCATACATCTGGGCCAAGATGAAAACTGACTATTCCTACTAACCTCACTCAGGGCTGGGGTTATGGGGTGGGCAGTACCAGCATCTGGGGACGCAGAAGAGGTATCTGGGTAGCCCAAGGGCAATAGGAGGCCTGAGGAAGGACTGAGTGGCCCTTCTTCAGAGCATCTACTCTGGCCAGCAGTGGCAGAAGGAGCAGCCCCTTCAAAACTCTGCTACTTACATGGGCTTGGCTCCAGCCATGGCGTATGCTTCTCCAGGCCTCATGGCCAGCTGCGGAGGGATGGACTCTGTTTTCAGTTTGCTGACCAGCCACCTCAGTTGAGGGCACCTTAGAGGCACTAACAAGGTGGAGAAAAGTCTGGAAGTCTGTCCTCAGCCATTCCTGCTCAAATTCATTCTTTATACAATTACTCAGCTCATTCAGCAAACTGGCTAAGCTTTACTTTAAGGATAAAAACCAGACACATCAAAGCCCATGTCTGAAATTACAGTGCAGCTATACAAGCAAAGCCCAAAGAAACAGATTTACTTTAAAACAGGGGCAGGGGCACTTGCTTGGCTCAGCCACATTTTGAGACTGGCCTGGCATCAGAAACACCTGAATCAGCTGTAGGAAAAAAACTAGGCTTACTTCTACAAGACAGAAAAGGAGTTCATTTCTGTTCTCCACTTCACTGTCTGTAAGGCAATGCTGTGTGGAGCCACTACAATCCTTGTTAATCCTCATAGTAAGTTCTGCAAAGCCACCACCATCACCTGTGTACAGATAGGGAATCTGGCCAAGGCCTGGCACTGCCCTCCTCATGCAAGGCTGCTCACTTTCCCACTGACCCTCAACCCCTCTGCTGACACCAGGATGCCCCCCTTGTTGCCTGGTCACTAGCTCAGTGATATCCCTGATGTCTTCTCTCCTGACTCTTAGAACCCCTGTCCATTCATCCCTGAGTCTAGAGTGACCCCAGCCATGCCTACTTCCCAACCTGGGGAAAGATGCATGAACTGGACCTGGTGCAGGCAAGGCTGAGGCAGTGGGGAAAGGGTTTCACAGTGCCATTCAAAGTGTTATTCTTCAGTTCATACAGTCAGAGCTCTCAAATGTGCTCAGTGCACCTCCAGGACAGACAACATTTGTCTGATGGATTTCTGTGCTGGGCTATGCTGTTGGCCTCTTCAGCAACCTGTGGAAAACGCGTAAATGCCATGGCTGAGCCATGATCTGAGGGAGGAGGGTGGACAGGGAAGAGGTCTCACTTTCTACTCTAGGGAAGTTCAGCATGAAGGGGACAGGAGAAACTGTTGGTCTCTCCATCCAGCCTGCCCAACCCTGCGCCTCTACTCCCCAAAGTAGGGCCATGGGCACTATGTCTGCAAGAAACAACCACTCAGAGGTGACCGAGTTCATCCTGGTGGGCTTCCCGGGATCCCTAGGGCTCCACCTGTGCCTGCTGGTAATGTTCCTGATAGCCTACATTCTAACCATCACTGAGAATCTGATCATCATCGCAGTAATCTGTACCAGCCCTGCACTACACAAGCCCATGTACCTCTTCCTCAGCAACCTGTCCTTCCTGGAGGCGTGGTACATCTCTGTCACAGTGCCCAAGATGCTGCTCAGCCTGGCCATTCCTGAGTTCCAGCGTATCTCCTTTGCAGGCTGCATGGCACAACTCTACTTTTTCCTGGCACTGGCCTGCACCGAATGCACGCTTCTGGGTGCCATGGCCTATGACCGCTACGTGGCCATCTGCAACCCCCTGCGCTATCCAGCTATCATGAATCCCAGTCTCTGCAGCCTCTTGGCTGCTGGTTCCTGGCTCTCTGGTTTCACCATCTCCCTGGGGAAGGTCTTTTTCATCTCCCGCCTGGGCTACTGTGGTCCCAACATCATGAACCATTTCTTCTGTGATGTTTCCCCCCTGCTGAATCTTGCATGCTCTGACATGTCTGTGGCAGAGCTTGTAGACTTCCTCCTGGCACTGCTCATCTTGCTGGGGCCGCTACTGCTGACTGTCTTCTCCTACGCAGCCATTCTCAGCACAGTGCTTCGCATTCCATCAGCTGATGGCCGGCAAAAGGCCTTCTCCACCTGCGCCTCACACCTGGCGGTGGTGGTCATCTTCTACTCAGCCTCCCTCTTCATGTATGCCCGGCCACGTGCCATCTATTCTTTCGACTACAATAAGCTAGTGTCAGTGGTGTACACAGTGCTGACACCCCTACTCAACCCAGTCATCTACTGCCTGCGGAACCAGGAGGTCAAGCAGGCACTGCACAGGGCACTGCAGAAGGTGGTTCAGGCCCTGCGGATCTACTTCTAGACGGACCAACACTGCCTTCACCTGTTCCTGAATTCCCTGAACCTTCTTGCCAGTGACTCTGGACAACCAGACCCCTTTAGAGGCTGAAGGAAGAAGTCAGCGTATCTTCCCACTCTGAGTCCTCACTTACTAGGTAACAGTGAAGTGGTACCTCACTTACTGGGTCCCCAAAAATGGCTCGCCCCATTCTAGTGCCACTCTGGAACCCTCACCCTGACCCTTAGGTGCACTACAGGATTGTGTTCACCTAGGCCTCTCTCTAAATAACCACTTGGGTAAGCTAATATTAGTCCCTTTACATCCAAGGGGAGCAGAGTAGATGTTATCACCCCAGTTTCTAGGCAAGGACACCAACACACACACACATGCACACACACACACACACACACACACACACACACACACATCATGCAGACCGTTCAGCAGCCATCAGCACCTCTGTCCCCCATACCAAGCTGAACCAGCCCCAGTGGCCCCTGCTAAGTGGCTCTTCCTCTATCCAGGCCCCCACAGGCTTCATGATGGTTAACAATAGGACACAGTAGAGAAGAGGACAAATCACTCACTGCAGAAGCCAGAGGAGGTAGAGCAGGGAAGGACCAAAATTGTTCCTAAGCAAAAACCAGCACTCATGCCCACTTGAAACTGGTGTATCTATGACTATCACCTCACTCTGTTAGAAGTAAATGAGGTGGTAAATGAATTCAGGGCTCCTGCTGGAGCTGCTGCTAATCAGAATGTTAGGGCTCCCCCACAAGGGTTAATAGCCAGTGCTCCAGTCTTCCAGCCCTCTCTGCCCATTTCCCACTACCTGCCATACAATGAGCAAGCATGTTTCAATGCCATTAGAGTGTAAAAGGCCCTGACATCCACCAAGACCCCTGCCATAGTGTCCACACTGACCAAAGGCCTGGTTTTAAGGGCTGGTATCTCAATGTGTCCTGTAAGAACCCTTCATCTGCTCCTCTTGAGAGGCCAAGAAGAAAGAGAAGGTCCCTGGCCACTGCATTAGCAGCCCCTGCCTTAGCAACCATAGCTTCATACACCCATTTCAAAGTGCAAGAGACCCAGGCAGTGTAAGTTGTAATGATGCCATAAGAGTTCTGCACTAACCATCAAGCATCATGAGGTCCCACACCCACCTCATCCCCAACCAAGAACTGCAGAGACAACAAGTAGATGGTTCACAAGTCACATTATGTCTGTAACAGCTCTTTCAGGGAATGATTCCCAGCCATGCTGGCAAAGCAGCTTACCTATGAGGTGGACACTTGGACCTCGGAGCTCAACTCGGGTCCAGCAGAGAGCACATGGGAGAGAATGGGTTGGAGGCCTCATTGGATACTCAGGTGTTAGGTTCAGCTGATCAACAGCTGCACCAAAGCCTACAAACCATAGCCCCTACCCTGGATCAGGTTGTTCTCAATGGCACAGACACATGATGTTTAAGGACAGACACCAGGGCATGAGAAACAGGCAAGTCCTGACAGTGTGGTGCATGGCCTGAGGGTCTCTCTGAGATTCCTTTTGTTTCACAGAGAAGATGAAACAGGAGCAGAGGGGAGGGAAGAACCAAAACTAGCAAGAAATCAGAGGACTAGCCAGGCAAATGCCCAGGAAGAAACACTCTTGCTCCACAGACTGGACAGTGAAGAAAATATCCCAGGAGAAGTGCCTTTGCATAAAATGCTATGAGTACATCCTTCTTCCAAAACAGATGCACTTTACTTCCAAACAAAACTCCTATAAACTAATCTTTCAAAAAAAAATAGAATAAAAGCATTGGCTCACTGGTGCATTCTTTCATGAACAAAGTGCCAGCTCCAGCCACGGTCTTCCAGCCCTACAGAGACCAGGAGCATCAGGGAACCTATAGCCTGGCTTTGATGCTGCAAGCTTGGATCAGTGGAGTGCACTTGATGCCAAGGCAGTGGGGGCAAAGGTCCTGCCCTGAATAGACAGAGCATGGCACTCACTGGGGAGGAGAGCTGCCTGCATGCAAACAGCAATATGGGGAACAGGGAAAGCACCCCACACTCCAGAGCCCAGAAGAGCTAGGGCACAGACTCCAGTGACCCCCAGATCCCTGTCACAGTCCTCCACTTGTCCCATAGTGTCCAGACTCAATCTGCTACTCACAACTGTTTGTCCCCCAAAGCAGTGATGTTCCATCTTCCAGGCCTCTCCAAGGGTCCCTCTTCACTACCCCATGCCACCACCCAGTTAGAATTTTTGCCCTCAACTCTGTTATCCTTGCCCCTAATTTGCCCTGCCTTGTGCCATCAGGCTCCCAAATGTCTGTAAAGTGAATTCCCAAATCCTCATCAGGCTCACTCTCACTCAGGCATCCCCTAACCCCCACACTGCAACCCACACCCATCACTAGCTGAGTGCCAGCCCAATCCATCTGCTCCTGTCAGTGGCAACCCCCACTGCAAGGATGCTTGAAGTCAAGCCTTGCCTAGAGCCTTTATTCCAGTTTATCTACAAGAACACTCTCACAGAGAAGCATTCTCTAAGCCATCGCAGTTCCCAGTAGGTATCAAGGTTCCCAGAGATATGGAAGTTCGTATGTGCCCGTCTGCATGATGGGGCCAGGCTACTTCTTTCTGTTCACCATCTGTCCCAGGCAGATGAACCCAGCAGAAGAAAAGGTCCTTGGGCAGTGAGAGCCTCTACAGAGAGAACAGAGAAGGCCTAAATAGATGCAGTGGTGAGCCAGCTTCAATGGAAGCTGCTCAGTACAGTGGAAGAGTAGAGTTTGTCATCTGAACACATCAATCAGTTCCTTCCTCATCCCAGGAAGTGGTAAAGATCAGCCCTGACCCCAACAGAAACCCAGAGACAGGAAGCTGAGGGAAGCCTGGAAGATCCTGGACTTGGACATGTCCAGACTCCTGAGAACAGAGTGACAAGCCTCAGGTGGTCACTGACCAGTAACTCTAGCCCCTACCTGATCCCTAGACACAAGTGGCAGCCACTTCCACATCCAGACAGGAGTCTAAAAGATTCATGTCTAAAGAATCTGGTGTCCAACAGTCAAAGAACTAGGGTGTTGGTGGCTGAGGGTAGGGGGAGCTCCAACTAAATATCCCTGCCTGGCATAGTCAGCATTTCAGGTCTCTCCAGTGTGGGCTGATAACCAGCATTTACAGACACTGAGTGATATGATCTATGGCAGAAAAAGCTGAAGGAAATAGAGGTAGAAGGGAAAAGAAATTTCAAAAATATTTACATGGACATAAGAAAATATGGATTATGTCCTTAAAACAATAAAGCATGAAAGAAAGACAGAAGAGGAAAAAGAAAGAAAAGGGTAGAGACAAAAAGAGAAAATCCTTGCAAACCCAAACTGTCAGAATAGAAATAAAGACTCAATAAGAATGGGGGGGAAAAAAGAAATCACTCACACAGCCCAACCAAGTGATGTGAAAAATGGATGCTAAATATATTTTAAAAACATAAAATTAGCCTGACAGATCCAACACTTATCCCAGAAAGAGTTTCAGAACGTTCTAAGAAAAGAGAGGCATGGTGATGCACACCAAACCCTCCAACAGGATGATTAGAGTTTCAGCCCTCTTGAATTCACTGAATGGGGAAAAGTTAAGGAGAAACTACTAGACTGAAGAATAAGAGAGGCAGGTGTCAGGGAGGTGGCCCTGCTCACAGGCCAATGGCAGTTCCTTCTACTACCAGACCGTGCCAACCAGCATTGACCCCGGAAAAACACTCTGCCCTGCTAATGAGGCCAAGGAGCTATACTTCTGGAAAGAGAACAAACCGGGTAAGACCTGGCCCCCATGAACCCGGGACAACTCAGGATCACCAGCGGGAATGTGAAGTGCAGACTCTGAGCTTAAAGTCACGGGATGCTAGACTTCTATCATGTGTTGGAAAAAGTAAAAACAAACAAAAATATCCTTTCTAGAGGACAATAATGTCACAGTAAGTTTTAAACATGTTCTCAAATAATCTTCAAAGAACACACACAATAAACACACAATCAAAGATAAGCACATGAAAAAGTGAGAAACAAAAGATAAGAACAGATACTGGGCTTATCAGAAACAGACTCTAAAACAACTCCACTTCCAGACAAACTGAGTACAATGTAAGAACTGCTAGAAAACCAAACACTATTGACTTGACCTGATTTTTACAGAATGCTCCACTTAACAGTGTATTATACATTCTTTTCTGGCCCACATGGAACATTATCAAACTTAAAATAATTAAAATTGATACATGGTATATTTGATGATGACAGAAAATATAGAATAGAATATATTCTGATCCCAGAAATGCAGAATTTTTAAAAATTAAAAATGATAAATATTTCTGTAAAATCTCTAAGTATTCACAAGTACTATACTCCTTAATTAAAAAGGTAAATAAAAAGAAAAATACAAAATGTTTTGAAATTAAAATGAAAAAGAAGCAGATCAAAAATTTTAAGATGTTACTAATGTAGTAATTAGAAAGAACTTTATAGCACAGCAGGCCTGTATTCAGAGGGGAAAAGGTCTTAAATCAATGACCTCCATTTCCACCTTAAGAAACAAAGGATATAACAAAGTAAGCACCGTGAGTAAAATAAAATTAAATTAAAGGTGAAAACAAATTAATGAAATGGAAAACAGAAAAGATAGTGTATAAAATTAATAAAACCAAAAGTTGATTCATTGAGGATAACAATGAAATTGGCAAACTTCTAATTAGGCCCGTCAGGAAAAAATGAAGTAAAATATAAATTATCACTAATGAGAATGAGATGAGTGACATCAGTGTATATTCTATATACTTTAAAAGGTAAACAGAAGAAGGTAACACTTTATGCCAGTGAATTGACAATATATATTTAATGTACAGATTACTTGAAAGATACAAACTTCAAGAAGAAACATAATTTAATGCCCTATATGTATTAAATTTGTAGATAAAAATGTTTGCGAAAAAAAAATACCTCAGGAGAGAAGACTTTGCTGGTAAATTCTAAAAAGCATTTAATTTAAACCAAATGAAACACTTCTCCATAAAACTGAAGAAAAGGGATATTTCCCAACACATCCTATGAAGCCACTATGAGATTCAAAACTAAACCAAAAAAATTCCAAAAAGAGAAAAATGATGGACGGTGTTTTTGAATGTAGAATGTAGATGACACAGGACTTTAAAACAAGAGAATAGCGAATTAAAAATTGCTACCACTTTCAGAAAGAAATCTTTCCTAGTTGCTATATTGTATATTGTTAGACTACAGAATCCAGTGATTCTATAGACTTTAGACTATTGTACTACAGACTATCATCTATTGTCCAAAGATATATAAGGCATAATACATCTTAAGCAAGTGTGATTTATGCCAGCAAAACAAGTTGGGCTTAATATTTGAAAATTAATAATTTCAATTCCCTACAGTAATAAATTTAAACAAAAAAGCCACATGGTCATCTCAGTTTATTTTAAAAAATGAAAAAGGAATACAAAAATGACACAAAATCTCAAAACAACATAACACAAGGTTAACGATGTTTAATATATTGTGTATTGTTATGTCAAAGTAGCTGCTCAATGCAAATTAAAACCACACTGAGATTCCATCTCACTCCTGAAAGAATGGCCAGGATCAAGAAAACCAACAACAACAAATGCTGGAGAGGCTGTAAGGGAAAAAGGAACTATCCTGCACTGTTGGTGGGAGTGTAGACTGGTGCAACCACTGTGGAGGTCAGTCTGGAGATTTCTCAAAAAGCTGGGATTGGAAGTCCAATTTGACACAGCTATTCCACTTCTAGGCATATTCCCAGAAGAACTGAAAGCATCATACCATAGTGATGTATGTGCACCCAGGTTTATAGCAGCACAATTTGTAATAGCCAGTTCTTGGAAACAACCTTAATGTCCATCAACTGAGTAATGGATAAAAAAGTTGTGGTATTTTTATACGATGGAGTACTACTCAGCTATAAAGAATGATCACATTGAGATATTTATAAATAAATGGGTGCAGCTTGAGACCATACTCATAAGTGAAGTAAATCAAACCCACATATATAAATACCGAATAGTTTCCCTAGTGTAAGAAATGATAACAATGCATAAAAGTATATGATAATCATGATTCCCCATTATATTGCTTTGAAGACTTATAATGTTTTCACTCATTAATTGGAATGGTTTTATTCTTGGCTGTTTGATTTTATTGTCTGTGATGATATGAACAGCTATTTTGAAGAAAACAAGACATCATAATAGCTAGTGATGATTTAATATCATCTTGTTTTGAAGTTCCATCAAGCTTTCGTTCTTCTGTCTCCATCGGTCTTAACATGTTGTATCTTATTGGATTTTATTATATATGATAGTCTGAACAAAACCTTTTATAGACAAGGAGATAATATAGAAACCATTGTTCATTTTCTGTTAGTTGGTTCTAAATACCCTGTAATACGGATATTCTCTTGAATGGTTTTACATTGTCTTGATATGTTTGATGCTACAGTATACCAAATTATACTCAAATATTTCAAGGAAAGAGACACTATGATAACTACTGTTATGTCAGGTTATCTTGTGGTGAAACACTATGTTGCTTAAATTGTTATGTTCTGACCTGTGCTGTTTTGTTGTTATGTCCTCTTTTATCTCAATCTCCTTTTTTATTAATTTTTTATTTTTATTTTTTAATTAAGGGAAAAATAAATTTAAAAATAGAAGGGTATATTATAGTAACCACTTTGATTTCCTATTAACTTGATTTAAACCCCTGTATTGCTCCCACCATCTTGTTTTAACTGATTTTACTCTATTCTGTTTTGTTTGATAATATCAAGTTTGAGGGTATAGGTAACTACTTTGAAGACAATAAGATTCACTATGATGCTCATTCTGGTTTGACAATTATCTTCCTTTGTAGAAGGACTGTAATGTCTCCAGTGTTTCAGTTTTATTGGTTTTGTTCTGTACTGTTTTGTTCAATTTTATTATACCTGATGATATAGGCAATTCTTTTTAAGATAGTGAGAGGCATTATGGTAACCATTGTTGATCACCTTGTATTCTGTTTTTACATCATGTACTATGTCCATCCTTTGTTTTGACTGATTCTGTTTTGTTTTGTCACACTTGGTTTTATTCTCTTCAAAACAAAGTAATAAGAACTGTGGAAGTAATAAAACCCAAAATGTGTAATTGTTATTGTAAAAAAGAGAGGAAAAGAAAGTGCTCTAAAGGATATAACTGCATGTATATTTAAGTGTGTAAGATAACCATATTACTGAGTATTTGTTGGATCATTGAACAGAACTGTTTGCAGTCTCACTGTTTGAATATCCACTTTGTATGCTTTAATTTTGTAACTTGAACAACTATTTCTAAGATAACAATGTGTAATCTATTAACTAGTGGTTTCTTATTGTTCATTTTTTTGAAATTCTGTATTACTTGTACCCTTTTTCTGTTTTTTTTTCTTCTTTTTCTCTT